CAAATCTTTGCTTTGAAACAAAGTCATTATATCAATATCAGTGTTCGTCTGATGGATTATGTGCCATGTCCAGTCAATGAATATTATAAAGAATTATGGCATTAGTAATCATCTTAGTAACTTGAGAATCATTGAAGTTATGATGAAATAGTCTCCTTGGTAATCTAGATTGATAAACCTTGAGAGTACTGGTATTAATTATGATTTGGTGAAATATTGTAAAGACTTATCTGCATATATATTTAAATTTTATGCAGAAATTTGGATATAAACAACGCTGTCCTAAATCACCATTGATTGCTGTTGGGAAAAATTAATTATAATTTTAATTATGCTGAATTTGAGATTTTAGGTATATATGAATGAAATTATTGTTTGTACAAAAATCTTAATTATATTAAATTAGTTTTACGGTTTATGACTTACCTGTAATTAAGCATTTTTCTACGTCAACTACAGGAAAAGAAAAATGAAAAAAAATATATAGTTAGACAAGGTATAATAAATAATAAAATTTATAGTAATCCTTTTGTTTATAATTTGATTATTTGGATGACATGATTTCATTTAAATCCATTGTGAAACTAAAAATAAATAATTTAATCCAAACAATAAAAGATCATTTTTAGTTAGATATTCTCACTTTTACTAGAAGAATATCATACTGCCCGCTCAAATTATTACTTTTGAATCTTTAAAAGTGTTGGAGCCGCGTCTATGAACTGTTTGATGAAATGCCCTGAATACACTTACGTTATATTCTGTTTCTAGTCATTGCTATTATTGTTTCATTCTTATTCTCATTCATATTGCCGTGCCGTCAATCACTAATCTCTTCATTTCTCACCGTTCCACCTCTTTCTACTGCTTTTTCACTTTTCTTTCAGCATCTTGGTTTCAGTTTCTATGTTCCTTAATTTTTGAATGGTGGCCAGATATTGCTATTATTGTTTGTAATGGTGGCCAGATACTGCTTTTTCAGTAAACAAGTTAAATCAATTTTTGAAATCTCGCATATAGCTATACTAACAGGCCTATAAAAAGGTGCTTAGGTACATCAAAGGAACTATGAACTTTGGGTTAATGTTTCGGGCCAGTGACAGACTACACTTAGAATGTTTTGCAAATGCAGACTGGGCAATTAGTCTACATGACAGAAGGTCTACAATTGGAAACTGCTTATTTCTTTGTTCTAATTTCATTCAATGGGGGTTTTAGAAATAGAAGGTGGTAGCACTATCTTTTACAAAAGCTTAATACAGGGCTTTAACATAAACAACTGAAATTGCTTGGCTCAGAAGCTAGTTTTCTGAATTAGGATTACATTTTGTGGTAGCTCCTACCATTTGGTGTGATAATCTTAGTGCCAGATCTCTTGCTTCAAATTGATGCATATTATATTAGAAATCAAGTTACTACAAAGCAGCTTGTTATTCAATATGTTCTTTTTGAATCTCAAAGTGCTGATATTCTTACAACAACTCTAGCAGCTAATCAATTTGCGAGCCTTTGAAGAAAACTTAAAAGTGTTGTTTGTGGACGAGTGTACAAAGGATGTTTCAAAGGTTCAGGGATGATAACAACAGTGATGATAGTGAGGTTAAGTTAAGAAATTGAAGCTGGCGAGACCAGGGATCAATGATGTTGAAGAGAAATTATAGCCGTTAGTTTTATTAAAGATTAGTTAAGCTTACTATATAAGATTGTACCGTTGATCTTTCATTCAATTAATAAAAATTCCAGATTTTCTTTTGCACCCTTTGTTAGTTTGACCCATGCATACTTAGGGGGAATAACAATTTCCCACCCAAGGTTTGGCGTAATTAATTTTTTCACCCAAAAAGTTTGAGAAAAACAATTTCCCATCAATCATTAAAATCCATCTATTAACTTTAACTGAAGAATGACAAAATGGTAAATTCAAAAATAAATGAGAAAATAAAAGTGAATAGATTTTGAAACGATTATTGATTCCATAGTTTGCCTTGCCTCTCAAGGCTTCTTTGGTTCCATTATTCTTTTCTTTCATAACTCTTCTTTAGAAGAGTTACAGTATAAAGCAATTCAAGTAGAAAAGAGGAAGCAATTGAAGTAGAAAAGCGAAGTGAATAGCTAGATTTTGAAATGATTATTGATTCCATAATTTGCCTTGCCTCTAAAGGCTTCTTTGGTTCCATTATTCGTTTCTTTCATAATTGTTATTTAGAAGAGTTACAGTATAAAGCAATTCAAATAGAAAAGAGGAAGCAATTGAATTAGAAAAGAGAAGAGAATAGATTTTGACTGATTATTGATTCCATAATTTGCCTTGCCTTTCAAGGCTTCCTTGGTTCCATTATTCTATTCTTTCATAACTGTTCTTATTTAAAATCTCTAAAGTATAAATTAAGAATGCATGTATATTCTTGTCTCTGAAATAAGAACTTGGTATGACAAATTTACTGATTTCCTGAAGCCAAAGCATGATGAATTTGCTCGATTAAACCATGATGCAAAGTGAAGAATGATAAATATGGTCAAGAGTAACCAGTTGATGCGTATATTACCATTATAACATTTCATATTTACAAATGTGACATTGCATTTGTAATAAGAACATTATTTCGATAAAATCTCATATCCTTTAGTGAAATGCCCGCAATAAAAAATATAAAGATTATCATTCTCCCTGCATACTCACAAACATATATAAACAATCCAGCGTTATTGATAAAAAGAGATCTCACCATTTCATTATCCGTATGGCTAATTATCCAGATAATTTAGCTTCAAAAATTTTGGCTGACTATATTTAACATAAATTGAAGCTATCAACAATTATATTAATCCTAATATATTTAACATAAATTGAAATTTTAGTGATATTTGAATGTTTTAAACCAGATGTTTGGGCTGCATCAAGATACTGCGATTTCTTTGGAACAACTTGTACAATGACAGGGTGAGAGAAAAAAAGAAAAAGAAACAAGTTAAGATCTCACTTTAGCTTTAGTCCCATCCTTGGCTCTTTAAAGTTTTGCTTTTCATATGAGCACTAAACAAAGGGGAGATGCTCACTGTAACTTTAGTCCCATCCTTGGCTCTTTGTCTGCCACAATCAATATTATTATAAGAATTAACACAATTTTTTCCCTTCAAGTTGACCACGTAACACCCTTTGAGGACTAAAATGTCATTTCATTTCACTTCTCCAATTGTTTATTAACACAATTTTTTTATTTTTTATTTTTTTTTAAATCAAGGCCTTAAAGAAATATTTTCTTTCAGTCTCCTTCTCCATGTATTAACTATCATGCTGAGAGTTGTTGGGTTGTCTTTGTGGCTTTCAATTTGCTTTTCTGTATTGACTTAAAATGGTCTTTCATCTAGAAATCAAATTATGAAGATATAGAACCAACACTACTCTTGTTATACATAGTAATTAACCTACCTCTCAGCCACTATCTCAAATTTTTCAGAATTTTCATTAGACTTAAAATAATATTTAGTAATAATTTATTCTATCTTTATCATGTGCCCCCACAATGAATGTGAAAGTGAAGTGAAAGATGAAGAAATATTTGGTATAATCTATTGTTCATGAAACACAATTCATCTTTTAACTCCTTTCTATCCTTTTAAGACTTTTTCTATTTCATTGTGGAATAAATTCTTTGAATTTGTGCGCAATTCATCTTGCTTTCCATGTTTTGTCTTCTTAGCTACTTGAGACTTTTGATATAAACCAAATCTTTCTTTTTCATTATTGACATATGATATATTTGAAGATAATTCAATGTATGATAATTTATCAAACACTTGGTGTGCAGAAGTTAACCAAGGATCCTAGGCATAAGACAATAATGTCCTGACAATATAGAAAAGTAATGATGATGATGATAAATAACAAGTGTTACAATACAAGTATATAAGTATTCACAAATATCAAGATAAATTCAATCCAGTATAATTGTCTATCTAAAAACACAAACCCTAATCCTATATATATTATGAGCAACGTTAGTTTTACAAAGACACATATAAAGGGGACATACAAAGACAATCTCTATCCTTGATTTTCATGATTTCTCTCTCTCTTTTTTCGTTTTTTCTTTGTTTTTTTCTTCTTACTGATGTCACTTTGTAGCTCTCTTTGTATGGATCTTTGTAAGGATAACATTTTTCATATATTATACTTATTAAACTTTAATTTGGTGAAATGCACTTTACACACATTTATATACGCAACTCAATGCACTTTACAATCTTATAGAGGTGTTGGATCTGCGTCTATGAACTGTTTGATGAAATACTCCTAAATACACTCTTCAGAATGTACATGCAGTCCGTAGTTTCCGACATTCACATTTCGTCGTTACTTCTTTATTAGAATCTTTTGTTAATTATATTTTGGGTTCCTCCCATGGCTACTGATAAAGTGATTAAGTCTTATTTCACTTTACCATCCGCCCCTGTTTCCAGCCATTGCTCTTATTGTTTCATTCTCATCAATCACTAATCTCTTCATTCCTCTCCTTTCCACCTCTCTAAACACCTCTTTCTACTGCTTTTTCAATCTTCTTTCTTTCTTTCTGATACCTTCAGGGACTGCTACCTCTGATCTTTTTATTGCTATAAGAACTAAAATAAGTAAACTTACCCCCTTCCATCTTCTTATTTCTCGTTTTTGTTTGTGTTTTTAGATCCTCTTCCATTCCCTTACTATTTTCTTAAAAAAAAAAAAAAAAAAAAAAAAAAAAAAAAAAAAAAAACCTCTTCGATCTTCTTATTTCTCCTTTTTTTCTTAAAAGAATTAATTTTCCATTCCCTCTTTTCTTAATCGGACGGTTCTTTGGCAGCAATAATCTCCTTCTTCAATCAAGAAAACGTTACTGTTGTTTGATTTTGCTCTCTGCTTTGTTCTGTTACTGTCTCTGTTTTATTTTCATTTGCTTTTCTTCTTTTCTATTTTTTCAAACTTCAGAAACAAAAAGTGAGAGAGAAAGGAAAACGGATTGAAAATGGTGGAACCTGCCGGGGATACCGCGAGTCTGGTGAGTGTTGTTCTCCAGGTTGGCAAGTGGTTTGCTCGTCCGATTGGGCGCCGATTTATGTACTTGTACAACCACAGGAACAACTTAGACAATCTTGAAAATGAAGTTCAGAAGCTGAAGGATGCAGAGGAGGAGATGAAGAATAAGGTTGTTGCGGCTGAAAACAATGTGGAAAAGATCAAACAGAGTGTTAGGCAATGGCAGGAGGAAGTGAATTCCATCATTCATGAAGCAGAGCAGTTGAGTGCAGAGAAAGCAAACGACCAATGCTTCAAGGGATTTTGTCCTAATTTGATCGCCCGCTACAAACATGGTAAGAAAGCATTCGAAATAAAGGAGGATAATATACCTCCACTCCTGCAGCAACTAAAGGACTTCGATGAGGTTTCCTATCCCACTACTCTGGAGGACTTGTGGCTTAAACCTGACAAAAATTATGATCTTTTCATATCAAGAGATTCCACTTTCAAAAATACACTCAAGGCGTTAAATGATGCTAATGATAACGTTGGGGTGTACGGGATGGGTGGCATCGGAAAAACGACTCTAGTGAAGGAAATAGGCAGGCAAGCCAAGAAAGAGAAGATCTTTGATGTGGTGGTTTATGTTGAGGTAAGTAAAACTCTAGACATTGAAAAGATTCAGAAAGAAATTGCGCGTAACTTGGGTGTGAAATTCGGAGAAGAGACTCAAAGAGCGAGTAAGCTGTATGAACGATTGAAGAAGAAGAAAGAGGAGAAGATCCTTATTATTTTAGATAATCTTTGGGATGAGTTTGATTTAAAGAGTGTTGGAATTCCTGATGAAGTTGATGATAGGGGATGTAAATTATTGCTGACAGCAAGAGAAAGACAGCCATTGCAGAAGATGGGTTGTCCTAATCCTTTACAGATTGACGGTTTAAATGGTGAAGAGAGTTGGAAACTGTTTAAGACGACAGCAGGTGATCATGTTATGGAATTCTCAATTTCTTTATATATAATTATATAATACAATTTCTAATACTTTAATTATTAGTCTTGGCCCTCTAGATCTCTTGGTAAAATCTATTCTTTTTAATTTCTTAACACATAAATTCATACTTCCTGTGTTTTTTATGTGAATAAAAAGAATTAAAGTAAAAATAACATGAAAAAATAATTCAAATTTTAAAGTTTTAATTTCAACAGAATAATTGTCAGCTTACTTCTTACTAATCTGTTGATTTTTTTTTTTTTTTTTAAATTAAATAACTTTTCTCCTTATAAGTGATTTTATCGAAACACAAGACTTTAAATCTCCCGCGGAAAACATATGTAAGAAATGTGGAGGTTTGCCTATTGCTATAGTTACTGTAGCAAAAGCATTAAAGAACAAGGGACATTCATCTCAGTGGAAAGAAGCCCTTCGACAATTGAAAAGGTCTTCCTCAAAAAACTTCACAAGAGATATGAAAGAAGCATATGCAACGATTGAGTTGAGTTACAAGTACTTAAAAGGTGAGGAACTACAGAAAACTTTTTTGCTCTGTAGTCTAATGCCACATCAAGCTTCCAGTTTAGACTTGGTCAAATATGTTATAGGTTTGCATATGTTTCAAGCAATTTATACAACAGAAGAAGCACAAAATAAAGTAATTACATTGATCGATGACCTTCAAGACTCATGTTTATTACTTAACGGTCACACTTACGAATCATTTTCAATGCATGATTTTGTTCTAGAAGTTGCTTTGTCAATTGCAAATAGGGATGATCATGTATTTTCTGTGAGAAATGAGATAAAGTGGGAATGGCCTGATGCAGATAGACTAAAGATTTGCAAAAAGATCTTTGTACATGATAGTACTATTGGTGATCTTAGTAAAGTGGTTTTGGATTGTCCGTTGCTTGAATTTCTTCTCATGGATACCAAGGTTGGCGACTCTCATGTAAAAATTCCTGATAATTTTTTCATAGGCATGAAGAAACTCAAAGTTCTAGATTTCACTAGAATGCAGTTTTCCTCTTTGCCGTTGTCGCTTGGTCTCCTAGTAAACCTTCAAACATTGTGTTTGGATTATAGTGAATTTGAATATGTAGCAATCATTGGAGAGCTAAAGGAATTAAAAATTCTTAGCTTACAAGGTTCAAGTGTTGAGCAATTGCCTAAGGAAATTGGTCAATTGACTCAATTAAAATTGTTAGATTTAAGCAATTGTAAGCAGTTGGAAGTTATCGCACCAAACGTGTTATCAAACTTGGTTGGATTGGAAGAGTTGTATTTGAATGGATGTTCTGTTTTATGGGAGGTTAAAGGACGCGATGTTCAGAGAAGTAATGCTAGTCTTGAGGAGTTGAAGCATCTGCGTCATCTTACCACTTTAGAAATAGATATTGAAGATGACAAGATTGTGCCAGAAGGCTTGTTCACCAAAAAGCTAGATAGGTACAAAATATCAATAGGAGCTGGGTCGTCTAAGTTTGGTGATTCGTACATATTTTCTGATTGGAAGTCCATGAGAATTAAGAGCTTCAGTTTCGATAAGCCTATCACTTCAATTAGGACGTTGAAATTAAAGCTAAATTCTACCATTTGGTCAGACAAACTGCAAGGTTTCAAGAATGTTGAGTTCTTATGCTTAGACCCATTGGAAGGGATCAATAATGTTGTTTTTGATTTAGACAAAGAGCGTTTCTCACAATTGAAACATCTTCGTGTCCACAATAATTCTAACGTTTTGTTTATTGTTGATTCGATAAAGTGCACACCTCATGATGCCTTCCCGGCCTTGGAGTCACTGATTCTTTTCAATCTGATTAACTTGGAGAAGATATGTTATGGTCAACCCACAATAAATTCTTTCTCCAACTTAAAAATCATAGAAGTGGCGCATTGTGATAAATTGAAGAATATCTTCTCATCCTCCAATTCCAGAAGCCTTCCACATCTTCAAACGATCCACGTGGCAGATTGCGAGAATATGAAACAGATTTTTGTTGCAGAAAGAGAAGATAATGTCAACAACAATGAAGTAATTGAGAGAGTTGAATTCTGTCAATTATGCTATCTGACTTTGAAGAATCTTCCAAGGATTGCAAGCTTCTACTCAGAAGTAAAGACACCTTCAACATTGCCAATGAGACAGAAGGAATCAACAACGAATTTACAGTCCAATGACAATAATTTGGAAGATGAGCTTGATACTGTCACGCCACTTTTTAACAGAAAGGTTTGGTCAGCCATAACTTTGCATTTATCTATTATAAATATTTTTTTTTTCTTTTGACATTTATTCTCTTTTGTTAACACATACAAGAAAAAAAATTCCTCATTGACGAGGAGACAAAAAAAAACTCTTATAATAAATAAAAAATAATGTAAATAAGATTACAATAGAAACGCGTTATTCTTCGCATCTTTTTTCATAAATTCTTCTCATGATTTTAGATTTCATTTAAAACTTTGTCCCTAGAATTTGTTTTTACTGCTTGCATAAAATTTATCATTTTGTCAAATGTTCATTCATTCTTAGTTCTAGTCTTAATTAAGCTATTATTGCTTCTTTACTTCGTATTTTATTAAACTATATGAAAAAAAAAAAGTTATTTATTATTAGAATTTTAGCATGCTAAAGTTTATGTACGAGACGTATCTCAAATGTTTGCACATGCTAAAGATTAGACAGGTAGAGAGTTCTTTATTAAGATTCTAACCCCAGGGGCCAGGGGAATATTGTCAAATGTTCAGAAACAATTATTGCTTTTTTACTTCATATGAGAAATAATTGAATTGAAAGTTAACATTGAATGCAGGTTGTTTTCCCCAATTTGAAGACCTTAGAACTGGAAGCAATTAATTCTGAAATGATCTGGGACAACCAACTTCCAACAATGTCTTCTTGCTATCAATGTTTGACACGTTTGATCATTTGTAATATGGAGAAACTAAATTATGTATTTCCATCTTCTATGGTCAAAAGTTTTGAGCAGCTCCAGGTTCTTGAGATAACGAGTTGTAAAGAACTAAAGGAGATTATTGGCAAAGAAGAAGGAGCAGAAGCAGCTGCTACATTTTTATTTTCAAGGGTAGAAGTCATACACCTCGACAACTTACCAAAACTTACAACTTTCTACCCTGGAATACACACTTCAAGTTGGCCCAAGTTAAAGAGGTTGGAGGTTTATCATTGTGACAATTTACACATATTCACTTCAGAATACAAGGTATGAGCCTTTTTTCTTTCTTTAATAATAAAAAAATTAACAAGTATTGCAAGAGACTGTCACTAGCCTCTTCAACATACACAGGTGTTTGACATTTTGGTTAGGATTTAGAATAATATTAAATATATATATATATATATATTTTTTTGTATTTTTTAAGAATGCTGAATTTTTTAGTATTGATTGTTTTATGAAAAGAGCTTTTAACTTTGGTGCAGGTCGTTTTCCCCAATTTGGAAGATGTCAGGCTGCAAGCAATTAATTCTCAAATGATATGGGATAGCCAACTTCCAATAATGTCAGATTGCTATCAAAATTTGACTTGTTTGGTCATCAATAGCATTGGAAAACTAAAATATGTATTCCCATCTTCTTTGGTAAAAAACTTTAAGCAACTCCGATACTTCTATATAAGTTCTTGTAAGGAGTTGAAGGAGATTATCGCCAAAGAAGGAGCAGAAGCACTTCCTACATTTATCTTTCCACGGGTAGAATCCCTAATACTAGAAAACTTAGAAGAACTTAGAACTTTCTATCCCGGAATGCACATTTCAGAATGGCCCAATTTAAAGAAGTTGGAAGTGTCTAGCTGTGACAAACTACAAATGTCTACTTTAGAATACAAGGTATGATTTCTTTCTTCGATAATAAATATAAAAATAAGTAAATTTCTCATAAACGGTTAAAATATAATTCATTTTTGTTTTAATAGTTTTCTGTCGTGCAACTTATCATGCAAGTCAAAGACTAATAGCAGACTTTTAAATAAAGGAAAAACATTTTTTTTTTCCACTAATATTTGTGTAGAAACTTTTTATACAAACTTTCTTTCAAATTGACGTATTTTAACATGACTGGAAGACTTTAATTTAAAGATAAATTATTAATTAACTGTGAGAGAAAATAGACGTGTCAGTATGAGAGGTTAGCCAGACCTCCAATAAAAAATTGGCATGTGATACAACTATGAGAAACAATTATTAATTAACTGTGAGTGCAGGTTGTTTTACCCAATTTGGAGGCCTCAGAACTGCATGGAACCAATACCGAAAATATCTCTCAACTTTTGAAAACATCTTCTTGCTCCCGAAAGTTGACCCGTTTGGTATTGGAGAAGTGTGAAAAAATAAAATATGTATTTTCATCTTCAATGATCAAAAGCTTTGAGCAGTTCCAACACCTTGAGATAAGCAGTTGTAAGGAATTAAAGGAGATTGTTAGCAGAGAAGAAGGAGAAGAAACAAATGCCAAATTTGACTTTCCGCATGTAGCTTTCTTAAAACTTAATGACTTACCACAACTTACAACTTTTTGCCTTGGGATACGTGCTATAGACTGGCCATGGCCCAAGTTAAAGAAGCTGGAAATGTCTGATTGTGACAAATTTCAAATGCTAACTTCAGAAAATAAGGTATGAGCCATTTTTCTTCTTTAAAGGTTTTTGTGTTCAGAAAATAAAGAACGCTTTTTATACACAAAATTATAAAATTTTTTAGTTAATTTTTTCTTTTTGTTTATCGGTATCTAAATGTCTTTACTTCAACCTAGAGAAGACAAAAAGCAAGCATCAACAAATCTAATTTAATTGGAATTATATAATTCATAGGCCGAGGAAATTGAAATATGTTTAATAAATTTTGTTAATTAAAAATCATTTCTAAAATAAATTAAGATTAGAATAAAATAAATAATTTGTTTTTAGCATCATTCTTTAAAAAAAATTCGAAAAATCATATCGATAAAAATGCTTATATTAGAAACTTTTTTGTAAAATAAATATATATATATAATTGGAGTAATAATGAAAATCCCTTATAATATTCCTTACAATTTAATATCTTAAATTAAACTTATTCAAATAATTAATAATAAAAATATCATCTATTTCACTTATAAAATTAGAAAGTAACTTACTGTAAAGGTAGTAATTGCTCACACTTTTTTGTTTTTATTCAGCAGAATAAATCATTTTTCTAATAATTGATGAAAATGTATAAACTTTATAGACAATAATTTCATTAAAAAAAAAAAAATTAAGTGTATGCAATATTGTTTATGTTTGTTAAATAAATGATCTCTTTTAATCAAATCCAATATTGATAGAAAATAAAACGTTTTTGTTGTACAATTTATCAAAAAATTTGAAAATAAAACCAGTAATGGCAGACTTGTAAATAAAGGATTTTATTTTTTTGGGTGATGATTTGATTCTGTTTGATTGATTTGTAGATTAGCCCCAATTTGGAGGAATTGGAATTGGTATTAAGAGCAGACAACATGATGACATGGCAGTGTTTACTTCCAAAAAACTTCTCTTGCAAATGTACTGTTGAGATCAAAGGTGATAAATCAACAAATATTCCACTTGTCATCCTTCAGAGATCTTTTGATTTAGAAAAACTCGTACTACGTTCTAGTTCATACAAAGAAATATTCTCATATGGATTGCACGATAGACATACAGGGACATTGCTGCAGATCAAAAGTTTAGAGTTGGATGATCTTTCTAATCTAAATAACATATGGAGTAAAGACTCCAAAGTGGACTATGTTATTCAAAATCTTGAGGTTCTAGAAGTACACAACTGTGACAAATTGAGTTTTATGCTGCCACCCCTGGCATCTGTTGCAAATCTAACAGTTTTGAGCATAGGTGGTTGCTGGGGATTGATAAAATTATTCACACCCTCAACAGCCCCAAGCATGGTGCAATTGAGGGAAGTAAACATTGTGACATGCAGTATGCTAATAGAAGTGGTATCAAATGAGGAAGACGTTGGAGTAGAAGATGGAATTGTTTTTAACAAATTGAAGTTGTTGTCACTTTGGGATTTAGAAAGTCTCACATGTTTCTGCTATGGGAATTTCACTTTCAATTTCCCAGCTTTGGAAGAATTAATTGTGGAAGGCTGCCCCAACATGAAGACTTTCTCTAAAGGAGATACAAGTGCACCATGTTTACAAAAAGTAAAGAAGTACAAGGAGGACACGGAAGGATATTGGAAGAGTGACCTTAATACAACTATACAACAACTATACAAAAAACAGGTATGTGTCTTGTTAAGAATTATTTATCTCTAAATTTCTTATTTCCATTCACACGCAATGAAATCTTGATGATATGATTCCAAAAGACATTTAATTAGAAACAAATATTAAGTTTCTAAATATATATAAAACAAATATTAAGTTCAACTTTTAAAAGGAAAACTAATTCAATTTTAAAAAATATAAATATTTTTTGAAAATAGTACATATCAAAATGTAGTACCATTAGAGGGCTATAGCAATTTCGTGGGGTTGCTCCGGGTAGTTGGCCCAGCTTGATGCTTATTGGACTTTAAAAATTTGATTCAGCTTCAAATTGGAAACTTACCTTTACTTCTTTTGATTCATTGTGGTGTACAATTACAATTTTAATAATATATTTTAAATGATTATGAACATTTATGTAAGAATTAATTATTAAAAAACATTTTTAGTAATTTTCTTTAAGGCAAACGTGTCAAAAAATGTTTCAAATGGGGATCCTAATAAGCTGGGTGGGGCTAAAATTACTTCCCTATCTTTTAGCTCCAAAATTTTAGCATATTAATTGTCCAAAGTTTTACCATTTTGTGTTTTAAGGACCTTTTTACCCTTGAAAAAGGTTTAAAATAATTGTTAATTAGATTATAAAATTGACTGAATCCTGTTTACATATAAATAAATATAAAAAAAAATCAAATTAATTAATGAATCCTAATTACACTAAAACAAATGAAAAGTAAGTAAAGGCTGGCGCACCCACCCCACTCTTGCTAACTACACCCTCAACATCTTTTTATATTAATCTCTAATTTGCTTAATTATTATTTAAAACCATATCCTCCCCAATTTCCGAATAGTTTGTCTCCATTAATGATTATGATTATTATATATATCATAAACAAGGGTTAAGTTTTGAGCTTTTCACATCTCAATGTTGTCGCCTCCTCTTGTAACCACAAGCTGTTATCCCATGACCCCAAACCTCAATTGTAACAAATAAACACTAAACAAATAATGACCACCAATAAAACAAATGAAAAAATTATTACTTAATAAAACAAATGAAAAAATTATCTTAATATTAAATTGAATCCTAATTTCCCTAACCCATGTAGTACACTAGATCTTTAATATTTCATTCAAGAGAAACAAACCCAGTCGAAGGAAAATATAATGAAGGTAAAGAGCTAACTGTTAATTTAATCATTTTCTTCTCTTTTAATTTAGATATATGATTTCTTTGTATTGTTGAAAATATACAAATTCTAATTTTGTGTAAAATTGTTTAAGGGAACATCTATTTTGACATGATTTATATGATTGAACTTTAGGTAAAGTCCAATTGTGAGGATTGACATTAAGTGGAAAAGACATCTGTCTATGTGGCCAAATCAGTTTCCAGAACATCGGTTTTCTGCAGTGAAAGTTGTTAATGTTATTCACAATGAACCAACAAATATTCCCATGAAATCCTCAGAGATTTAACAATCTCCAAAACTCGTATTAAAAGGAAATTCATACCAAGAGTTGTTCTCATGTGGAGAGGGTGAGAAACATCAGGGATGCTTGCACATATTAAACAGTTAGAGCTTCAGGACTTTTCAATTTGAAGCACCTGTAACAAATTCTCATCAGTCTCAATTCTTCGAAATCTTCAAGAGCTGTCAGTGTATCATGTCACAATTTGATTAACTAGTGCCATCTTCAGCATCTTTTGACAATCTAATAACTCTGGTTGTACAAAATTGTGATGGATTGGTAAACTTAGTAACATCCTCAACGGCCAAAAGTATGGTGACCTTGAAGAGATGTCATAGAAGATTGTGAGATGACGGTTGAATAGTAGCAAATACAGGAGATGTTGAAAAATGAAATTGTTTTTGGTAAATTAAATTCCCTAGACTTCGCAATTTAGAAGCCTCAGAAGCTTTTGCTCTGGAAATCACACCTTCAAATTCCCAGCTTTGGAATACATGAGTGGAAAAATGCCCCAATGAACACTTTCTCTAGAGAGTCTTAGCACACCAAAATTGGACAAAGTGGAGCAGAGTTGCATGACAATGAAAGGCATTGGGAGGGTGACCTTAATACAACTTACAACATCTATTCAAGAAAGCGGTACGTATTCTGTTTAACAATTAATTTTTTTTTTTTTGGATTTTCTTGTTCCCTTTAACATTGTATTTCATTTTTGTTTAATATCTCTGCTAGGGTTAATACCTTCGTTATCAAACTACGATATAAGTTATATTTAATAACAATGAGTCATGAGGCCATGTATGGTACCAAAAACTATCATCAATTTGTAGTTCAAAATAATATTTTCTCTATAGCTCCATCTTTATTTTCAATGTGTTATATTCCACTTTACAGAATGATCAGAGTTCTGAAAAAGATTATGATGAAACACCTGATGTGTTGGTCTGTAGTAGGAAGTGTAGGATGTGGTAGTAGAGGATTATTAGTAGTTGGGCAAAAGGTCCTAGGCGTGTGATTGTTAAGGAAAGAATTAATTATGTGGGACAGGTGCAATAGAGTGTGGCTAACTGGGAATCGTTCTGGAGAGAGTCTAAATGGGATAAAAAGGAGATAGGGAGAATTGGACGATATTCAAAAAAGAGAAAAGTGGAGAGGTGATTGCTAAGTTTTATTCTTCTTTGTATTTGGTTTGCTAGAATATAAATAGACTTTTGACTTTTATTTTCTGGGTATGGCTACTGTTTGTTGATATTTTTCTAGTTGAGTCTGAGTGTTTTTGCTGTTATTGTTGGGTTTGATTGAGTATTGGAAGGTATCTATCAATTCAGGTCAACTCGATGCAATCTTTGAATAAAGCTATATTTTCTAATTGGTTTGTGAGTTATTCTGTAGCTCGTGTTCCTTATGCTGAAGTCAGAGAGTGGAAGGATATATATTTTCTTATCTTCATTTCATGCTTTATTTTCTTCACATATTGAGTTTGATAGAGAGTGGAAGGATATATATTTTCTTATCTTCATTTTCGTGCTTTATTTTCTTCACATATTTGAGGTTGATTTGCATAGTGAAGGTTTGATTTTTTCTGTTCTTTGCCTTGTATTCAATACTAGAATATGAATAGTGCCTAGGATATGTGAATTTGTGCGAGTCTCTGAATCTGTCAAGTAGAACTTCTGTGTATTATAAATCTATTTCATGAATTTTTGTCCTCAAAAGCTGCTATAGATCATTCAAAATTCTCTTTGGTGCTCTGTATTCATGTGAGTATGAATTATGTGTCTAATCATTCCACTTAATCTTCATTTTTGCCCTGATACAGAAACCAATTCAATTGTTTATGTAAACAATCAAATTAATGCTGTTGTATTGTTGTAATCACCATGTGTTGTCTTTGTTACAAGTCTTAAGAAATTTGAAAACACACATGAGCTCTTACCCACAAACATATGTAAACAATCAAATTAATGTGCTATGAAAAGTGACAATTGTAATCCTAATGTTTAGAATAATTATATTGCGATGTTTGAATTGTTTAAGATTGGTTGGCACTCATTGAACATTGATTGGTTTGATATCTCTACATTACAGGTAGGTCAGCAACTTCCAGGTACTCTTCCAAAATTCTTGAACTAGATATTCTGTCAATCCAGAGCACGCCTAAGTCATTTTACCTTTACTTGCCATTCCTCGAATTATCATAAACAGATCATTGCATTATAATGTATTGAAATAATGGTATCATCAGTTTGTAGTTCAAAGACATCACTCCACTGATCAGATTTTTCACTTCCAATATTTTGCCAATGATTCAGACCGTTCATTGTTTCAAACGCTGATTTAGGTCAAACTTCAAGTAAGAGCATCTATGTAGTTTTTCTGACGCATTCAGCTCCTGTTCCTCTGCTTTAACTCAGACAAGGAGGGCCTCTTTTTTCATCTCCATGTTCTGCTTTGTGCTTTCCTTCATTTGGATGTGCTTGTGTAAAATGTAACAACGCTTACTCCATCACTCATCATTTGAATTGGAGCGTTGGAATTTCAGGAGTATATTGATAACTCTTTAAGTAGACAAAGTAAATATATTGAATTTAATAGTATTGTGAGGTCATTTCCTGGATATATACTAAACACAGTTTCATGATCATGGAAACATTTTCTTTTTATCTTCCAACTTTCTTTTGCTGAATATCAACAATTTGTTTTTTAAAATATCACTTCCTGCGGTTTCGTTTTTTTACTTTGAATGTATTTTGCTCTATATTTACAGAGTATTCCAAGTTCTGAAAAGGATTGGTCAATATTCGAGAAATCTCCGGATAAGGGCTCTTTTGTGAGGCACTATTGCGGCTTGTTCCCTGTGTTAGGTTTGAGAAGGGTAGAGCCTTTGTTTCCTTTTTATTCTTTTGCTTCAGCTTTCCTTCATTGTGAGTTGATTGCTTGAAAATGGATATAGAACTAATGCTTCCTTCACCAATTTTAGGTTGATTTGAACGGTAGACTTCTGTTGTATTATGATGCTATTGTTGTATTATGATGTTCTGTAATGCTATAGTTTGCACTCACATCTTCTTATCAAAGCCTAAGAGATATGGAAAATTCCACAGAGAATGCAAATTTTAGTTCGGAAAACAATGATGTGCCTTCATCCGCGTAAAATCCGCACCTGCCACTCATAAATTAAGGATTGAAAGGGCAATATCAATGCTCTGAGAATCACACCTTGAAATTCCCTGATTGAACACCAAAGTTTATAGAGTAAAGCAATCTATTATTCGATGAAGAGTATTAGGAAGGTGACCTTAACACAACCGTTCAACATCTTCACAAGAAGAGGTAAGTATTTAGTTTAAAATTACTTTTCTTTGGATCTTCCTATTCCCCCTAACATTTGAAACAGGACACTAGTCCATTCTCACCGTATCTTAATTTTATATTTGTTTTATAAATGTCTTATCTCGTTCGAGTGATAATCTTTAAGAAACAAAAGCTACAGTATAATTGATAATTAATATCTTATATGGTAGCATAAAGGTCATTAAAGGGCCACAATAAAACTTCATGTCATGGAAACATTTTTTTTCTTTGATAAACTATCACCAATTTTAGTTCAAATAACTTCCTATAGCTTCTGTTTCACTTAAACCTGTTGTCCTATATTTACAGAATAGCAAGAGTTCTAGAAAAATTCATGTCAAACTTCGATGCAGTATCCGGTTTAAGCCTCTTTAGCTAAACGGTTTGTGGGTATTATGGCTCTTGGTCCCTATGTTGAAGTGAGAGAGTGAAGGTCATTTTGTTTGTATCTTATTGTGCCGCTGTAGCCCCTTCATTGTGAATTACTTCTTTGAAAGTGTACACTTAGTTTCTTCACTCATTTGAGGTTGATTTGAATCGTGGAGGTTTGTTTTTCATTAGTTGCTGTGTATCTTATTGATGATTTATACAGTAATAAAATTTATTGCAGATTTTGGTTCTAAAAGCTTAGTGGCTCAAGCTTTTGGGCTTTGTAGTGCACGCCTCGTTGTATAAAGTTCATTTAGTCATTTTTGTCTTAATGAGAATACCTTACGAAGTTAGTCATTTTCTCTCAAACTCTCTGTTTTTCTTGCATTTCTGGACTCACTAAAATTTACCTATCAAAATAACTGAAAAGAAATTAATGTTTGAAATTAAATGTGGTTGAGGTAGGAGCTCTGTTTTTTGAAATATATGTTGTGAAAACATTGCACCTGTTGTCGTGAGAAAGAAGAACTGAGCTTGTTTTTAAAGGAAGATGGTTGATGTTAACAGGTGTTAACAGAAGATGGGTATAACTTATAAGGTTGTCTTGAATTTACAAATGAGTGTTCGCATGTGTTTTGAAGGAAGTTAGTTGAATTTAAGCTTGCCAAGTTCTATGAGATGGAGTTTTTGTTCTCAGTTTTGATGTTTATATGGGTTGGGAGGGAATCTGGTTTCCCTTTGTAGACGATGATGTACCAAACAGTTCCCACAACATTTGGTTTAATATCTATTTCTGGTGGGATTGGCGTGTCCATGGGACGTGGTTAGGAGTCAGGGAGGTCTTGCTGTTGTGGTATGCTTTATAGTTGATGGTTTGCTGCAGAACCACTACAAACACTGCATCTCTAAGGATATGGTTTGGGCAATCTCTCAGGAAAATGTACTGATTGGCTGGATTACTGGCTTGGCCCAAATGAAGTGGACTTTGTTATTTTTGCATGTTTTTGAGCTTAATTTTTGTTTTTGTATGGGCTTTGGTTAGGCTTGTTGGTTAGGCCTAGTGTCTCTTGGCCTTCGTTGAGTGTGAATTATTGGGCATGTCCAAGTATTCTCTTGGTCTTAGGGAGCTTTGTATATTTTTATTCTTTTTATACAATTTCCGGATTTATCCCAAGAAAAAAAAAAAAAGAACTATTACCCAATTAATTGGAAGAACGACTTCATCAGGAACAGGTAATTACTGTATAGAACAAGGGGTAAATGCTTTTTAGGAAGCTGATGAAATTTTCAAGTAGCTCGACCACCCAAACTTTGTTTAGAACAAACATCAACTGGCCTACAAGTAGAATAAATGCTAAAATAATTAAATTAAAGAAAAACAATAAACCGTGCACTGTTTTGCATGTTAATGAGCTAGAAATGGTTGCCTTAGATCACATCGTTTGTTGATTCCTAAACCGCTTCATTGTGTATAAAAGTTAATGTTACTCTTTCGGTTCTTAATGATTACAATTTTACTGAAGTTTAGTATCTTCTCTCAAACCTCTGTATTTTCTTTGTTTTTCTGCCCTTGCACTTTCTCGACTCAGTAAAATTAACCTATCAAAATCTATCATGGTATCAAAACCACACTAACATCATGGCCTATTTCTCAATTTCATCAAATATGTTTGAGAAAACTCACGGGTAAAACTGCAAGAAAGGTTCCAATCTCAGTGATCAAATTTTTGCCTTCAATTTTCCTTCGTCTTTGCCAACAATTTCTTTGAAGCTGGTTGAGAAAAATAGTTATTGGCACCTATGGTATTGCCAGCATCAGCTTCATTTGACTTAAAGGCTTTGTAACTTGAACTTGAACTTGTCTTTCTTCTTTTGTTGTTGTTAAAAATGAAACTTCAAGTTTACTCTTAAAACTTCTAATCTTGAATATCTATTGTGGAAAGAATTGATCAGTTTCTTATAAGGTGTTTGTTTTTTTCAATTTCTGAATCAAATGGTCTAGATTGAATATGATACAGTCTGTATGCATTTATCTTCTAGAGGGGATAATGTCACACTTCAAGGCTCATTTCCGCTGCATGAGCATGAGATAAGGCTGGAAAGTACAGTTCAGTGCATAAATGACATCAAAACCGCACTTTGTTAGCACATAAGCAAACCTATTTTAATCACCGTCCTATACATCATCTTTATCGACACAGGGCAAATATATACTCCTCATCGTCAGTTTGCTCCACAACACTATGCTCACCCATTTTCATACTTCAAATCTATTATTTTTGAGTTGGATCCCCCATATATAATTTCAAATCTATATTTTAATCATCTAAATCCCTTTTAAAATTATATGTACTCATTTAAATGCAAAAGAAACAATATTAATTAATATCTAAGATAGAATCCATAGCGTTTAAAAGAAATATATGTCGTAATTCATTTATAGTTAGACAGTATAATAAATATAAAATTATAGTATCCTTCTGTTTATGATTTGATTAATTGGATGGCATGATTTCATTTAAATTCACTGTGAAACTAATAATATATAATTCAATCCAAATAATAAAACATCATTTTTAGTTAGATACTCACACTTTACTATATATTCATTTAATAGAGAGATATCATACTACTCTTAACTTATACTTTCGAAGATCAAACATTCAGATATCAGTAATCAATGAAATTAATCTATCAAGTTTGACTATCTTAAATATATTGTGTATATCTCCTAATTAAGTCTCAATTATGTAAAGTCTTATTGTGAGTTGCTTCTATAAACATTTTGGCGAGTTTCCCTAAAGACATTATTGAAAATCCACATATACTTATTATTACATTGTAAAGTTTCTTCCCACTTGCGTTTTTCCAATTTAGTGTCTTGGTATCACATTTTCTTATTGGTGAAGGCTACAGATATTATTTGGGATGAGTTTTTGATTGATATTACCAATGAATGGTGATACAATATTATACATGTGAGTGCTAAATTGATTATGGAATGTCAACTCTGCATATTGTAAATTAGTCTTACATGGCTGAAGTTAAAGTCAAATTTGTTTAAAATAACGCTGAAAACACACTAATAATGAAACAGAAAAGTAAATAAAATAATCGATTTACCTGATTCGTTTCCAATATAAGAACTATGTCCATTCAAGATAGAGATGATTTTATTGAGTTTCATAAATCCGCAAAAATACAATACTAGTGACGGCAATTCACTCTCTCTCTCCCTCTCTCAATATTTACACACTCCAAATTTTCGTTATTATAATAGCATAATGTATCTAACCCCATTTGAGTTAACCCATATAACCTGACCCAGGCCTAAATATTTGCAAATCAAATCTAAACCCAATTATTATTGACTTACCATGATGTATCGACGTAAGCCGATAATCCTTAAGGTCATACTAAGATGAACCATATCAACAAAATTAAGGAAGCTATAATATGGGAATATGATTGTTGAGCTACCATCAAGGGAGCTGTCATTGTGATTCTCATTTGTTAGGTGATTTCTCCCTAAAAGGTGACAACGTGATCATTATTGTTCAGTTTTCAACTCCGTTCGTGTGAGGTCATGACGCAGAGACTGGAGACTTGTGCCAATGCCAAAGTCTTTCTTAAATATAATATTTCTAATATGGCTTTTATTTTATTTTATGCACAAATTGTTGGATCGTGCTTTCAGTTGTTTTTTTTTTTGTATTGATTACTTTGATACTTTCTATATCATTTGTTTAGTTAGATTCATTGATTATAGATTAATTAAATGTTTGAATCACAATGACAGATACCACTTTGTTTTCGGCTGAAATTATCATTGTAGCGTGTTATCTTACGCAATGAGTAATGAGTGTGGATAGAGGATGAAACCAAGCAACATTTTAGTTTTTTCCTTCAGTTCAGGTAAATAATCTTAATTCATTTAGATAAAACATTTCTGTGACAATAAAAAAAAAAAAAAAAATTTGAAGAATTTAATTACAATTTTTCTTAGGCAAAAAACTATAATTGTATATTTTTCTTAGTGCTCATTTTAATTACTTCAATCTTCATTTTCAGGCACAATGATAAAAATTGAATTCCGGGACATTTGTAAAGACATCTTAATAATAATATACATTGAAACATATTTAATTACATCAATTTCTTCTTTAGCTTCCAGCTGTCACATTTTGTCGTAATTTCAATGCAGTCAGCCACCACATGTGGTTAGCTGTCGTTTATTTTAAACTCCTTGATGTTGATCATGATCATGCCTAAACAAGACTTGCCAGATGCCAAGTCTTTTTTATATACTTAATATATTTGGTTTTTAATTTATGCATAGCGTGTTTGGATTGTGGTTTTCAAAATTTGTTTTGATTCGATATTCGAGTTGTTATTTTATATTAATAAAGATTAATGAAATTAATACCCCTA